TGGGAGTAGGAGCTGTTCCTGGCTCTGTCTGAACTTGGGGATTTTTATTTTGTTTTAGCTTTCATTGTATTTGTTCCAAGGCTTTGGGTAATTTCTTTTTAAACATGCACTGATCTCTATTTAGCTGAAGACCAGAGGGATACTCAGCAGATCTCTAGAGAACTCTCTGTGTGCAGCTCTTTCCTTTCTGGTACTCTTTTGTGAACTCTGGCTATGTGGCCTCTCTGGATGCCCAACTATGTCACTTTAACTCAGAGATACTGCTGGAGCTCCCATGCTGTGGTTTAGAAACTCTCTAGTAATGAAGGTGAGCCCTATGATTGCAGTAAGGCAATCACAAGGTTTACTTTGTTTCCGTTCTCTGAAGGATCACTATCTTATGTTACCTAATGTCTTATGTCTGAAAAATGTTATTTTCTATATTCTGTCTTTTTTTTTTTCACTGCTTCAAATAAGAGGCTTTGTTCCCTGTTACTCCATCTTGCCCAGAAGTGAAAATCTCTCACATACTTGGAAGTTCACTGTTTAAATTATTATAGAAATTAGATGACTAGAAATATTTGGATCACACGTAAATAAGCTCAAAGTAAAAACATGATAAATTTGGTTATGTTGATTTGGGGTGCTCGGAACTCTTTTTAAAAAACTATATTACATTTACACAGTGAACTCTAGAGAGTTTCTGCTATAAGAAAACACCTTAATACCATAAACTAGGTAGCTTGTAAAAAATAGAAGTTTCAGCCGGGCACTGTGGCTTATGCCTATAATCTCAGCACTTTGGGAGGCCAAGGTGGGTGGACCATGAGACCAGGATATCAAGACCATCCTGGCCAACATGGTGAAACCTCGTCTCTACTAAAAATACAAGAATTAGCCGGGCGTGGTGGTCCCAGGCTGAGGCAGGTGAATTGTTTGAACCTGGGAGGTGGAGGCTGCAGTGAGCCGAGATTGTGCTACTGCATTCCAGCCTGAGTGACAGAGCAAGACCCTGTCTCAAAATAAATAAATAAATAAACATAAAAAAATAAAAGTTTCTCACAGTCCTGAAGGCTGGGAAGTTCAAGATCAAGGAGCTGGGGAATTCATTGTCCCATTAAAGGGAGCATTCAAGAGGGCTAATCCCGCTTAAGAGGGTGTCACCCTCATGACCTGATCACCTCCCAAAAGGCCCCACCTCCTAATGGCATCCCAATACTTTAGGGGCGAGATTTCAAACTATGAATTTTGGGGGAATACAGTCGTATATGTTAGAACATTTCAGTAATGAAGAATTTAAAACAAAGTCCAAAAGAGAACAGTTATAATTTGGTTGTTACATGTTATTCCAAATACAGCAAGTTTTTCTTTATTTGCATTTTATGTGTTGATAAGCTTTAAATAATCAATAACCAAAGTTATTTTTCTTCAGTTTTGTGTATTTATGATGAGCAAAGAAGTGAGATAAAATAGAACTCAGTTCTGGAGCCCAGAGAATTAGTTATGTTCTCCTATATCTTTCTCATTGAAAACAATGTATTTTGATCATTGGGGTTCTTGAAGATCCTTAAGCGCTTTCTGACTCACTAACTTACACATTTTAGACTGATTATAGAGTTGTGGTTCTTGGAAAATGGGAAGTTCCCATCCATGAGAACATCCATGAGATTGTAATTCACATGAGTACATCCATGAGATTGTAATTCATATCACCATATTTGCCCAGATAGTCCATTTCAGGGTGTTTTCTCTGTCAGCATTTGCAGCTCAGTTATTGAGAGTTATTTATTTATTTTTATTATTTTCTTAGACAAAGTCTCACTGTGTCGCCCAGACTGGAGTGCAATGGCATGATCTCAGCTCACTGCAACCTCTGCCTCCCAGATTCAAGTGATTCTCTTGCCTCAGCCTCCCAAGTAACTGGAATTACAGGCATGTGCCACCATACCTGGCTAATTTTTTATATTTTTGGTAGAGACAGGGTTTCACCATGTTGGCCAGGCTAGTCTCAAACTCCTGACCTCAAGTGATGCACCTGTGTTGGCCTCCCAAAGTGCTGGGATTACAGGTGTGAGCCACTGTGCCTAGCTGAGAGTTTTAATTACCCCACCTCCATGCTGGTTTCAGTAGAGTGTTGCTTTTTGTTTTATAACCATTTAGATCTACTTTAATGTAAATGAAGATGGGTATAACACAAGGAAAATGCTGTTCATTAATCTAGGGAAGTTTGACATTCTATTATTTTGTTTAATATCTTGCCAATTTTTATTTAATGTTTAATATGCTTCAGGCACTGTTCTAAATGCTTGAGATATGTTGATGAATAAACTAAGATCTCTACCCTTATGAAGCTTGAAGCTTATAAGGAATTTACATAGAAATACACCAATAGATACAATATGTAAATTTTAAATTATATAATATTTTAGAAGGTGGAAAAAGGTAAAAGCAGGATAAGGGGATTGGGCGTACTGGTATAGGGGTGCAGGGTATTGGGATGCATTTTTAAGGAGGCCTCATCAAGGAGGTATACTTGACGATGTGAAGGAATTTCCCATTTGGGAACTACGGAAAGAGCCAGGCAAGGGACAGTCAGGGTAAAGACCCTGAGGCAGGAGCCTCCTTGTATGTTCGAGTATAGTACACAAGGTGGCAAGAGGAATAAGAGATAAATTGGGGAAGGGAGTGGATCAGATTCCATGGGAGCTTATAGATTTTTAAAAAGACTCTAGTTTTTACACTGGTCCTCACAAGAGGTTTTACAGTATTTTAAAAGAGGAGTGCCATTACCTGACTTGTATTTTACAAGGATTTAAGTGTCTGGTGTGTTGAGAATTGACTGGGGTCATGGGGTTAGGGGGTACAGGGCAAGGCAAAACAAGCATCAAAACAGTGAGGCCACTGCAGCGTTGTAGGTATCAGATGATGGTGGCTCAGACCAAGGTGGTAGCAGTGGAGGTGGTGAGAAGTGGTCAGATTCCAGATAAATTGTAAAGGTAGAGTCAGTGGGACTTTGAAGTAGATTGGTGTGAACCTTTTCTAGAAGTTTCCTCCTTGGTGAATCAGAAGAATGCTTGAGAGAAATTTGAATTGGTACTGTATTTAATGTTTGGGAATGTGTTCTTTTTTTTTTTTTTGTGACATGTCACTGTAGTTTTTAGTAAAAGCTTGTGCTAAAATGATTTCAAAAGCAATTATATTTTGTGTGATGATGACCTATACAATAATTATTTATATTAAGGAAAGGGTAGATACTTAGTATACTTATTCATAAGATGATGTCCAAATATTTGCCTTCCCATGAATATTTTACAATGCCTGAAGTATTTAAAAACTTGTGTAGTTGGCAGTAGCAAATTGATTTTACTTAGAATCAAACCTTTGAATGATTAAAAAAATATAAGATAAAGCTAAATATTTTGTAAAATGCAACTCACTGATTCCAGATATTGGAATTGAACCCAAAGTGACCAGTGGGCCTGCTGAGAATACTACATTCAACTCCAAACTTTTGTCTTGATCATTTAGTTTACTACTTCAGCTTCTCTTTTACTTCTCATCAAATGATTTCTTTTATCAGTTTTTTTTCCTAGAAGGGGGAACTGCTAAAAACGCCATCAGGACAGATATGCATCCAAGTTCCTATTTCAGTTATCCTAACATTTGAACTTCATGTGACAGCTTTTCTTTGCAGTTGGTTTCATTTTGTACAAGAATAGGAAAAACTGTTTTCTTTTCTTTCTTTCTTTATTATTTCATTTTATTTTTTTAAGATGGGGTTTCACCATGATGGCCAAGCTGGTCTTGAACTCCTGACCTCAGGTGATCCACCCACCTCGGCCTCCCAAAGTGCTAGGATTACAGGCGTGAGCCACCGTGCCCGGCCCCGGAAAAACTGTTTTCTTAGCATCCTTTAGAATTTTATTTTTTATAGAATTTTGAAGAGGTAAATTTGTTCCCATTGGCCTTCTCTTTTCTCTATTTAAAATACTCCCTCCATCCCCATCTTTATGTATATTAGAAACCAGTTATTGAGGTTAACCATTTAGTTTCCCATTTGGATATGTTTCTGAGGGTCTACTTAGATTTTGTTTGCCAGTCTGTCACTGGTCTTATTAACAGTCAAGTCTTACGACTTCTATATGTATTCCTTTTAGTTTTTAATGTCGGAATGATTTAAATAGCAGAAACCAAAAATAGGGAGTGGAAAACTAACAAGTAGGCACAAGTTCAAGGAATCCATTACTAGCTCGCTGAGATCGTTAAGAAGTTGGCTATGGAAGAAGATGAAGTGATTAATTATTATGGTAACTGCTTGCCATTACTATTTCCTTAGTCAAATTACTTAGGGAATGGGGTAATTATCCTATATGCTATTTGAAATCTTTGAAAACAAGTCTTTTATATTTAGCTGGCAGTATCCTTTTACCCACTTTGCTATGTTAAAACTTGTGATTTAGCACTTAAAAGTTACTTTTGAGACGTACCATAGTACTTACCACAGTAAATATGATTCTGAGGGTCATGTGTATATTTCTGTTGCATCAAGGCTTAGAAATGTAAGCATACATGTTTGGGCATTTCTAGATGTACCCACTAACTTTGGATGGATCCAGGTATTGTACTAGGCAATAATCCAAATCTGAAGACATTCACTTAATTGTAAACTGTTAATTTGATTAACCAATCTTGTGACATTAACTGAGAACCCTGTTGGTCCAAGACAAATCCTACTATTTTCTACTGAGAAGCCAACTGTTTTTACATCTTATTATGTTGAGTTTTGCCAATTTTTACTTATGAGTTATTGCAAATTGTATCGTAACATTCCAATTGTAAAATTTCTAATTTGGGGAAAATTTTTCAGGAATTTTTTAGCATGCAGTCGTCTTCGAGGTAAATCTGGAATTATGTCCATATGCAATACTTTTTTTCAGTTGCCTTACCATATTACCTATATTTATTGAATATGTAGGAGAAGATAACGCTGTGAATCTTAAAAATAATTTTTCTGTTGTTAGCTTTTTAGTTGGCGAAGGAGCCTACAGATGGGCAGTAGATCATGGAATACCCTCCTGCCCTCCTAACATCATGACCACAAGTGAGTAAAAACTTAAAAAAATTAAGCTATATGAGCATATATACCTAAAAGTATAACATTGCTTCTGTTATGACCCATGTAGTACAGATATTTATGGAAGAAAACTTGTATGTTGAAAGATTTGTAGTTAAAAGATACATAGAAAGTTACTGTATTTCATTTTAAACCACCTTTATATTCCTGACGTCTTCTCGCTGCTTCCCTATACTTTTATAGAAGGATTGCTAAATGATCCCTTTTAGAGATTATTTTAAATAATTACTACCAATAAAACCATAATACCATCCTTCAGTGAAAGAGAGATGGAGAGAGAGAAAGAGAAGAAAATATAAGTCAATATTTAGCAATCCTTGAGCTGAGGGAAGGACTTTTTAGATACAAGTGCAAGGGAAGGAAAAACAAAGGTGTGACTACATAAGAGTTAAATTGAAAAATAGTTACCACAGATATGACAAAGGGATAAATGTGCTTAATCTGTGAAGAAATTTACCAAATTAAAAACAGCATGTATACAAATAATTGTCTCATAGAAAAATGATTAAAAATCATAAGTAGATAATATAACTAATAGGCACATTCAAATTAAAATGAGTACATGTTAAATTTATTCCCTTTTAACTTTTGAAATATTTAAAACATATTACTCCTGGTAAGTATTTGCTTAAATAATCATAATACGTTGTAGGTATAAATGTAAATTGGCAGAAATTTTAGCTGGCAACTAAGTAGTATAGATAAAAAGTGTTAAAAGCCTTGTTCTGCTTCTAGGAACCTGTCATTGGAGATATACACAAAGATTTATATAGAAAGGTGCTCAAGTGAGCATTGTTAAGGATATACAAAATTTTGAGAAAATCGTATACCCAACACAGAGGAATATGAGTAAATAAATAATCATATATTCTTATTGAAATGTTATGAAGTAACTAGAAATTGTTGTGAAGACTAATCTCTGATAAGGATTAAATCTAATGACTTTGAAAAAAATGAAAAATGAAGTTATAAATATGTATAGGTTTGTCTATATTACATACCTATTTAGAAAATAAATATTTGCATAAAATGAGAAATATTAAAAACATACACTAATTATTTTTTAAATAAAAGTTTTATTTTTATCACTGAAATCTAAGAATATAATTTAAATAATCAAATGAAAAAATGAGGACTAACTCCAAGGAAACTCAGTTAGTTAAATACGGTATAATTAGCCAGGTGTGGTCATGCACTCTTAAACTCTCAGCTTCTTGGGAGGCTGAGGCAGGAGAATCCTTTGAGCTTAGAAGTTTGAGGCTGTGGTGAGCTATGATTGCACCTGTGTACTCCAGTTTATGTGACAGAGCAACACCTTGTCTCTAAAAAAATTTATATTCAGAATGAATATTCATGTAGTGCTGAAAGAGGGAAGAGAAATGTGTGTGTAGCAGTAGGGCTGGCATATGAGGATTTTAAATTCTTATGATTGCTGCCACTAATTATGTCTTACAGTCTTTCCAGTGGAACTTATTTTACAGTCCTTAGGCAAACAAATTAGGTCATCTGTGAGTTCCCTTTTTTCCCCTTGGAGATATGCCACCTGGCACCTTCCAATCTAGAGTCTTACTAGACCTGCTTTGCGGCTGCCATCCTGGACTGCGCCTTGCTTCACCTTGTGATCTCCTTTGCCTCTCTCCAAAATCAGGTTCTCTGTTTCCTGGATCTCATGTGTTTTTCTTTCTTGTTTAATTCCTTATTCAGTACATGTGAGACTGAAAATCATTTTCCCTTAGGTTTTTGAGGAAATTCTTCTCTTATCATCTGGTTTCCAGTCTTGCTATTATGCAAGACTCACAAATGTTGTGGTGTGTTTTTTTCTCTTTGAAAGGAAGCTCTTAATTCCCATTTTGATTATCACAATGAAGCATCTTGCTTGGGCAATTTTTTTTTTTTATTCTTTATGTTGAATACTCATTTTGTACATTCAGTCTGGACATTTGTATGCTTCAGATTTGGAGAAATTAAAAGAAAATTTTGGGGTAATTTTTTTCTTCATATTTTCTATATTTTATTTTCCTAAATACCTATTTTTTAAAGACTTTTAAGTTTAGGGGTACATTTCAGGTTTGTTATATAGGTAAACTCATGTCACAGGAATTTGTTGTACAGACTGTTTAGTCACCCAGGTAGTAAGCCAAGTACCCTTTAGTTGTTTTTCCTGATCCTCTCCCTGTCCCACCCCAGTTAGACCCCACTGTCTTTTGTTCCCCTCTATGTGTCCATGTGTTCCCATCATTTACCTCCCACTTACAAGTGAGAGCATATGTTATTTGGTTTTATGTTCCTGTGTTAGAGTGGTAAGGATAATGGCCTCCATCTCCATCCATGCTCCTGCTAAAGATATGATCTCATTCTTTTTTATAGCTGCATAGTATTCCATGGTGTGTATATACCATTTTCTTTATCCAGTCCACCATTGATGGGTATTTAGATTGATTCCATGTCTTTGCTACTATGAATAGTGCTGCAGTGAACAAACGCATGTATGTGTCTTTATGACAGAACAACTTGTATTCCTTTGGGTATATACTCAGTAATGGGATTGTTAGGTCAAATGGTAGCTCTATTTTTAGCTCTTTGATGAATTACCACACTGCTTTCTACAATGGCTGAATTAATTTACACTCCTACAAGCAGTGTATAAGCATTCCTTTTTCTCCACAACCTCACCAGCGTCTGTTATCTTTTGACTTTTTAATAGCCATTCTGAGTGGTGTGAGTTATTATCTCATTGTGGTTTTGATTTGCGGCTCTCTAATGATCAGTGATGTTATCTTCTTTTCCACCTTAACCCCTGACAGCCACTAATATATTTTCCATGTGTATAATTTTGTCATTTCTTTCTTTCTTTTTTTTTTTTTTCGAGACGAAGTCTTGCTCTGTTGCCCAGGGTGGAGTGCAATGGCGTGATCTCAGCTCACTACAACCTTAGCCCCCTAGGTTCAAGCAATTCTCCTGCCTCAGCCTCCCGAGTAGCCGGGATGATAGGCACTTGCCACCACGCCCAGCTAATTTTTATATTTTTAGTAGTGGCAGTGTTTCACTATGTTGGCCAAGCTGGTCTCCAACTCCTGCTCTCAGGTGATCTGTCAACCTCAGCCTCCCAAAGTGCTGAGATTACAGGTATGAGCCACAGTGCCCAGCCAATTTTTTTGTTTCAAGAATGTAATATAAATGGTATCATACAGGCTGTAACCTTTTGGTATTTGCTCTTTTTTTAAATTTTTATTTTCCTCCTCACTATAACTCTGGAGATAACAACCAGGTTGTGTTTCTCAATAGTTTTTTTTTTTGTTTTGTTTTTTATTCCTGAATGTTGCATAGTATGGAGGTGCTGCCACTAAGTTTAACCATTTACCCATTTATGTCTGGGTTGTTTCCAATTTTTGGCTATTTTGTGTAAAGCTTCTGTAAACATTCTTGTACTTTTTCTGTAGTTCCTTTTAAAATTGTGGTAAAATACACATAACATAAAGTTTACCATCTTAAACATTTTTAATGGTATAATTCAGTAGCTTTAAACATTTTCTTTTTTTTTTTTTTTCTTCTTGCGATGGAGTCTCACTCTATCACCCAGGCTGGAGTGCAGTGGTGCGATCTCAGCTCCCTGCAACCTCTGCCTCCTGGGTTCAAGTGATTCTCGTGCCTCAGCCTCCCGAGTAGCTGGGATTATGGGTACGCACCACCACACCCAGCTAATTTTTGTATTTTCAGTAGAGGACGGGGTTTTACCATGTTCACCAGGATGGTCTCAATCTCCTGACCTCGTGATCCACCCGCCTTGGCCTCCCAAAGTGCTAGGATCACAGGCGTGAGCCACTGCTCCTGGCCGCTTTAAATATTTTCTTATTGTGGAACTAACCATCATCTGTAGAACCCTCTTCATCTCATAACACCAAAACTGTACCCATTAAACAGTAACTCCCCATGTCCCTTCCATCTAGGCCCTGGCTAGTTCATTTTTGTCTTTGTGTATTCTGCTTTTATAAGTGGAATCTTAGAATACTTGTCCTTTTGTAATTGGCTTATTTTACTTAGCATGACTTCTTCAAGGTTCATCCATGTTGTAGCATGTGTCAGAATTTCTTTTTAAGGTTGAATCATATTTCATTGTATGTATATACCACATTTCGTTTACTCATCCATTGACAACTACTTGGGTTACGTCCCCCTTTTGGCTATCATGCATAATGCTGCTGTGAACATGGCTATACAAATATCTGTTTGAGTCCCTGCTGTCATTTTTTTCTGAGTACCCAGAAATGGAATTGCTGGATCACATGGTTATTCTGTTTTTAATTTTTTGAGAAGCTACCATGTTGTCTGTTTTCCACAGTGGCTGCACCATTTCACATTCTGTCAGCAGTGCACCAGAGTTCCAGTTTCTCCACATTCTTACCAATACTTGTTCTTTCCTTTTCTTTTTTAATAATAGTTGGCATCCTAATGGGTGTGAGTTGGTATTTCATTGTGATTTTGATTTGCATTTCCGTGATTATGCTGTTGAAGTGTTTATTCTTGTGCATGTTGGCCGTTTTTATATGTTGCTTAGAGACATGTATATCCTAGTTCTTTGCCTATTTTTCTATCAAGTTGATTTTCTTGTTAAGCTATAGGAATTCTTCGTATGTTCTGGATATTAGCACTTATCAGATATGACTTGCAAATATCTTATCTCATTCTGTCAGTTGCCTTTTCACTACATTGATTGTCGTTCACTCCATTGATAGTGTCTTTTAAATTTTTATCTATTTTTTTTCCTTTTATTATCTCTGTTTTGGTGTTATATCCAACCTTTCCCTCTATGTTGTTTTCTCAGAGATTTATAGTTTTAGCTCTTACATTTAGGTCTTTGATCCATTTTGAATTAATTTTTGTATATGGTATAAAGTAGGGGTCTAACTACATTCTTTTGCATGTGGCTATGTAGTCTTTCAAACACAGTTTGTTGAAGACTATTGTTT